AGCTTCTACTCTTATAAAATTCTATGCAACTTCACTCTAAATTAATCAAATCTACCATAATTTCTAGATATTGAAAAATTTAGTAAAAAAAATTAAAATAATCATATATTGGCCTTAATAAGATATTTGAATTTTTTTGCCTATTCTCATTCACTTCTAAAGTTTTTTACTTCAGAATTCTCTAATTTAAGAACATATACCATGAGAATTCTTTCTCATTAAAAGTTGCGAGATTGATTTTGATTTAGAAAGGTTGATTTTTTATTTACTTTCTTTTTTCTTGGTAGAATTTGTTACATATTGACCTTTCTGATAGGAAAACCATTGCTCATATATTTTGAATATCATCTATTCATCATGACCTCCTATTGTGAATATGAATCCGTGTTGCATATTTTTTTCATTAAATATTTAATAAAACTCTATTTTTATTTCTCCTTCTCAAAATTTTATTTCTAAGTATAGAAATTTTTTTTAGAAGAAGAATAGTCTTAAAAAAAAAAGGCATGTCTAAGTGTAGAATTTTACCATATGTTTAAATTAAAGGAAATTGAAGGGAATGAAAGAGAAGGGAGGACAACATTTTTAGATTAATTAAATTATAATATTTTAAAAATATTATAATTTAATTAATTAAAATTTTTTTTCTTCATTCTTTTTTGTTTCCCTCAATTTAAATATAATATCAAACATACTACATAATACGTTTAAATTGAGAAAAATAAAAAAAAATTTAACTAATTAAATTATAATAATTTTAAATATTATAATTTGATTAATAAAAAAACTTCCTCCTCCCCTTAATATAAATATACTATTGAAAAAACGGCCCAGGCACAACTATCCCTCGTTGAGGAGCACATCACACGCACATGCGCTCATGCCCGGATTCTGGGGGAAAAAAAACAAAGAAAGAAAAGCTAAATGCTTTCTAACACTAATCACCAAAAAAAGAAAACAGAAAAAGAGAAAAAGAAAGCTATATGCCATCTAACAGTAATCACCAAAAAAGACAAAGAAAGAGAAAGCTACATGCTATCTAACACTAATCACCAAAAACCATGATAATAATAATAATAAGCCACTCACCATACTTGTGCAACCATACAAGCTCTCAGAAACAACGCATGCTTTTCTCGTACAGCCAAAAGGAGTTTATTAGTAACTCAAAAAGTAACAAAATACGTACAAAATACACAGAAGAAGGAAAGAAAATGTTCCAAGCACACAAATTGACAAATAACTAAATGATCGAAGACTTGAAAAAGGTTCAAATCTTAGAACAAGTACTTAAGAAAATTTAATTTTTTAAATATATTGACATACCATGTCAATATGAGAGGTTTATTTTTAAAATTACTTAATAAAGGATTACACTTAAGGTGCCAAAATTGACCTGAAGGCACATCAACTATTTGAAAAAAAAAAAAAAAAAAGGAAAGAAAAGAAGGGTAATCCTAGCAATTAATGGTACCACGAAAGTTGATTTACATTGGACTCCACAAGCCATTAGTGATTAGTGTAGAGTCCACAAACTCAAAATCATAGCTGCTTGAGACGAATTCCATTAGTGAAGATTCTGTAAGTTCACAACCGATCGCCTTCTCCTGATCATGAAGCTTCACCTGGGTCATTGCTTCATTTATTGTGGACTCAGTACCCCAAAAGCACTCATTTTGTCCCACCCCTGTCAATGCTGGCTCATGAAATGGCGTGAAGGACATTGGCATTATTGAATGTGGAATTTGCTCTTTGGTTGTCCAAATGTTATCCGCAAGGTTTGGGTTTTCATATGTTGTGGCTACAACTTCATGGATTGATGACAAAGAATGTGAATTAAGCAGGGTGGTCATAGATCTTGACCAGCCGGTGTAAATGTTGTCCATGATCTGATATGCGTTTAATGAAATGAGGTTATCAGTGTTGGGATCGTCGATCCCCTTTGCAATGAGCTTCTTCTTAATGCAGGAGTTCCAAAAGTTCTTCACCTCATTGTCTGTTCTTCCCGGCAAGCACTTGGCTATCTGAGCCCATCTGTTACCCATAATTCGATGAAGATCCATGATTATATTCTTTTCTTGTGCACTAAAGGGGCCCCTTTTGAGATCAGGTCTTAAATAGTTTATCCACCTCAGTCTGCAGCTCTTACCACACCTCTGCAACCCTGCGATACGTGTTCATTAAGAGGTTGAGGAGCAAATTAAACATATTTAAAGGAATTAAGGAAAATATATATCAAGAATGAGGTATACAAGTACCAGCAAGTTTTGGAACAGAACTCCAAGAACCATGGCCATGATGGGTTCTTATGTATTTGACAAGTTTCTCATCTTCTTCAGGAGACCAGAGGCCTTTCTTTACTTTCTGTTTGTTGCAACACTGATGCCCCATCTCTTATTCCTAACTATATTGTCCACATTAACATTTGGTCTGGGCTGGCTTATATATATATATATATATTGCTCCAATTAGAAATGTACTAGTATAGTAGCATGCCTCTCTGGACTAACCTACCACAAATAT